GCCCCCTGGTCTGGAATGCCCGTCTGCACCAATGTGGCCAGACTGGTTTTAAGATGTTGAAATGTTTCTGCGTTGACTGTTAGATAGGCAGGTCCATATCAAAGCCCTCCCCATGCCAGCCCTCCCTGGCCCAAGACCTCCCACGCTGCAGCATCTAACCGTGTGCCACCCCAGGGGCCCTGCCCTGGGCAGCGTCCTCAACTGCTCTTGCGGAAGCTCCAGGATGGCAACATGAGGACGCAGGGCCCTGCATCAGGCCCTAGGAGCCTCCCATCAACTCCCCAGATGGCTGCGGGACACGCAGAAGGGACGGGAAGGCGTGCCAGGACAGATGCTGGAACAAATGTGCCGAATACAGGCACACCGAGTCTTAACACACAACTTCTGGAAAAATATGACAGACCTGAGTGGTAGTAAGGCCTGACATAACTATTGATACGAGCTCGTCATCTACAGAAATATTACGGGAGGAGCAGTAACAGCAGCACCGAGCCATGGTTGTGTCGCACAGACCCTGCTGTTACTTGTTAGTAACGTCCTGCTCCTCGGACAGCTCCAGAATCAAGATAAAGGCGAATAATGCTCCACTGATAGTCATTTCAGGAAACGATGGTTTACTAACACATCCTGACACATCCGTTCATCGGCAAGAGACAGAGTCGTCTGCACACCCTCAGGGAGGGGAGAAGCTGTCAGACGCCTGTGTTCAGCACAGGAAACGAGGCAGCTCCCCAGACAGACACAGACACCCGGCGCTCGCTCAGCTCAGCTAAGGGAGCCTGTGCACCTCTATCACTCCTCGTGCCCTCGAGGTTCTCGAGGGGCCCCCTTCCCAGCTGTGTGAAGGACATGCTTGAAGAGGCATTTTGCACAGTGAAGACGTCATGTATAATGAGGCCCCCCCCCATCTCTCTCGAGGTCCGAGCCACTGGGTTTCACAACCAGGGGCTGCTGGCTCTCAGGCCTGCACCCCTCCAGGGCCGGGCTCACACGGGCTTCCCTTTCGTGGCCAGTCCGAAGTCTCTCCAGCCAAAAGCCTTGGACTTCCCTCTGTGCTCTGCCGTATTGGTGTTTTGATTCCCCATTCCAAATTTCTTTTCTTCTAATTATCCCCATCCCACATTCTTCTGGCTGCCTAAGAAGATAGAGATAAAACCTAGCAGTCTAGAATTGGGCGTGATGGGAGCTCAATGGCAGGGAAGGGTTACTAGGGCGGAGGACTTTGAAGGTGGCTCCAGAGAGATGGAGAGATTCTATCAGGCTTGGGTGGAGGTACCTGGAGCAGACTGAAAAAGCAGCATCTGAGATGAACTTCCAAGATGGGTACAGCTCTGAAGAAAGAATGTGATGGGGAGGGTGCTTGTATTAGAAGAAATGGCATATGACCAAAGGCCCAGGGGTTGGGGACACACGTGGGGACCAGGCAAGCTCAGCCTGGCAAGAGCATGGGGGCAGAGAGGGAGCAAAGGTTGGGGCCAAGTGGTGAAGGGGTTTGCAGCCAGGCTATCAGGGCAGGAAATGTGCCTGGCGTTTTGTCACCGACACCCTGTCTGTCGTCACACCTGAGGGACCTGCCATTGTCCACCAGCCTACCCCTGGGGTTACTGGAGGCTCCCAAAACCTTGCATCCATCCCCAGGTTGCGGAAACAGGACAGAGAACTGTTCATGTACAAAAGCAAATCAATTTCAAACATAAGAAAAAAGTTTTATTTGAAAAAATAATAGTTACTGAATGATCTTCCACATAAATATACTTGAAAGGAGTGTTGCATTTTCCCTTCAGCTTATCAAAGGGCTCTCAGATGAGTCAGGCCTCCGATAACATTGTTAAAAGAACGCTGAGACAAAAGCAGGCTGCAGAGGCCAGGCCTTCGAATGGCCCTGACATGTGCTCATCACTTTGAACCCCATTCAAGACACCAAATTTTCCAAACTCTCAGGTAGGAAAAAGGATAGATAGAAAACTTAAAGAAAAATGAACCCCTTTCTCTTGGGCGGTCAATTTCTCCCTCCCATTAATCACTTCTCTAACCCAGGTGTTCTTAAGCAGGTGTGTTCATTACAATCACCTGTGGAGTTAAAAATACACCTGCCTGGGGCTTCCCTGGTGGCGCAGCGGTTGAGAGTCCGCCTGCCGACGCAGGGAACACGGGTTCGTGCCCCGGTCTGGGAAGATCCCACCTGCTGCGGAGCGGCTGGGCCCGTGAGCCATGGCCGCTGAGCCTGCGCGTCCGGAGCCTCAACAGTGAGAGGCTCTGCAACGCGAGAGGCCACAACAGTGAGAGGCCCGCGTACCGAAAAAAAAAAAAACAAAAAAACACCTGCCTGGGACAATCCTGGGAGATCCATTCAGTAATTCTGGGGTAGAGCCGTGGCATGTGCTTTCTAAAACACCGAAACTCTGACATGTTATTCACTCGTTCACGTATATCTTGAACCCCTACTTTGGGCTGGGTGCTCCATGTTGCCTGGGAGGTGGCAGGGAAGACAGTTCAATCTGCAACCAGCAGTACTACGCACTTTGCCAAGTATGAGGAGACACTGGGGTGCACGCAGCAGACAACATGTTCACCACACCTTCAGCAACACCTACACAGCTACACGCTCGGCCCCTTTTTATGAGAGCGTTTCCTGCCCCCACTATACCAGTGGGACTCCAACTTAGATTTGAATCATCTGGCAAACCTTCAAATCTCCAGATGCCCAAGCGGCATTAAATCAAAATCTCTAGGCTGGGACCCAGGCATCTGTATTTTTTAAATTCTCCAAGAGACTCCAATAGACAACCGAGGTTGAGAAAGACTATACTGAGTTAATTTCTTAGAGGAGAGAAAAATTCTGTCTCCTTTTTTAAAAACAGCCTGCAGGAAGGCCTGCTCAGCCAGAAAAGCCCAGATCCCGCCTCACTTTTGTCCTGGAATCCCTCCTTCTGGGAGGCCGGACAAGCAAGTTTGTGGAAGGGAAGGGGGTCAGGAGCAACACAACAGCAAGTACTTCCTGAGGAGGGGGCTGAGCTGCCCCGTGAGAGGGAGAGGTCCCTGTGGGAGCAGAGGCAAGAAAGTAACCATCTGCGGCAAAGAATTAAACTAGAACATACAGTTTAATTGTTAAACTAGATAATGTCCTCTGTTAAGAGCTTACTTATCTCATTCATTTTGCTATGTGATGCACATTAGACTCAACCTAATTTTACCGCTGAGGAATAGAGCTTAGGTAACTGGCCCCAGTCACTCTGCTGGTAACTTGCAAAGCCAAAATGAGCACCTGAATGTCGACACCTGGAATGTCACACTTTGCTTAGAAATTAAAATGGGGGCCACTTAATAAGTCCTCCATATTCTCTGTACCTTGTATGTTCAGCTATTTCTTTTGTACATTTTTTCCAAAGTAACCATTAGCTACAATAAAGCATTAGCAATGCCCAGGGCTTGGATTAACATGAATTTTGAGGACTTATTTTTACAACTTTTATACACTGTATTATTATTTAGATATTCATATTTGTATCATTATTAATTGTAACTACTAATTACTTAACTCCTATTATGTCCCAGGCCTTTTACACTCATTGTCTCAAACCCTCAGAACAATTCTGCAGGGCATGAGGCTTAGGGAGGGTAAATAACTTGCTCCTGTTGATGCTTTTTGTGTAACCTCACGGCTGAACCG